CCCCGAAAAGACCATGGCCGAGAAGGCCACTCTATTTGGGAGAGTATCTGATGGATCCTTGGGGTTAATGGCCCCTCACCGACAAGAGCCCACATCAATAGACCCTGAACCCTGACTTCCATACTTAACCCTACACCCTAAACCCTATAATCCCTAAACCCTATAATCCCGCACCTCCAACGCTACAACGCCGACGCCCTGAGGCCCAGTTCCCCTACAGCCTGTTGAGTTTGTGTAGTGCTTGCAGGCTATGATGCACTCCGCAGCGCTGTACAGCAGCCCGTCGGCACTGTTTTAGATGATGGGTTACACGGTCTGGGTTCGTTGCGGTGATGTGGTAAAACAAGTGTCCATCCGGAGTTGGAGAATGCCCGCAGCTACAGCAAAAGGAATGCAACAACCCTAGACCCTAAATGCGCAACGTAAGCGATTTTTTGTGAAACGCGTTTTTTTAAAGGGAACCTGGTACGTAGGTCAGAACGCTTTGAGGATACCTGGAACCTACGTACAACCTACTGACGAAATCTTTTTCTCCTTCCGCTCCAATGAACACTGGTACGAACTACCCATAACGCATATTCAAGATCGGCACTAAACCCTAAACCCTCAACCCAAGATCCATATGGCTGCCCTTTGAGTTTTGCGGATGAGCACCCGGACTCGCGCTCTCCAACCAATAAAGGTGCCCGGAACCTTGTTTAGGGTTTACGGCTTTAGGGTTTTAGGGCTCAGGGTTTAGGGTTTTAGGGCTCAGGCTTTAGGGTTTTAGGGCTTATAAGGCCTAGGGCTCAGGGTTTAGGGTCTGAATAATCATGGCCTTTCCATGGCCTCGCAAACCCCACCAGAGCCCCCAAAATCAGCTTGGCACCAGAAGCCCAAAACCCAACCTTTTCCTTAAAACAAAAGCCCACGATACCATCCAAAGCCCCTGAACGCTGATCCCCATAATATTAATAACCCAGAGGGTCCGAGTACCCAAATAGTAAGGTTTTAGGTCCCAAAATCCATACTCCGAGTGGTTTTTGGACCCTGAAACCCTACTATTTGGGCACTTGGACTGTTAGGGTAATATGCACCCCAGGCCCTGAGCCTCAAACCCTAAAGTTTACCTTCAACCCACAGCCCCAACCCCCTAAAAACCCGAAAACCCAAAACCCCAAATCCTGAACCCCAGACCCAAAACCCCTCAACCCAAAATCCCAAAACCCCAAAACCCCAAAACCCCAAAACCCAAGCCCGAAACCCTAAACCCTAAGCCCCAAACTCTAAACCCTAAACCCCAAGCCCTAAACCCTAAACCCCAAAACCCCAAGGACCGAAACCGAATGCTCGGGGACCAGGCATGGCCAGAAGGAAGTCGTTTCCCTGCTCCTGGCTTCGAAGGTGGGCAAAACTTTGTCATAGCTGGGTGAGAACCCAACACCCCTTAATTAAGGAATATAGCTTAAATTATAGGGCCTTAATACGATGGTTTAAGGTATATTCCTTTATTAAGCGGTAATGGCTTTTCATGGGTGCTTAGGCTCAATAAGGAAAATGTCCAGTTTCAGTAGTGTTTAGGGTTTGCGGTGTAGTGTTTAATGATCCATGTGCCTACAGCATTCGTGGAGCATTTATGGTATAATATGGGGATTTTGGCGGATGTGTGTAGTGCTCTTAGGAAGATGGGCGTCTGCGTATGTCGGATGTGATTTTGGAAATGCATCAGTTCTAATGGCACTGTGCATCATATACTTTGGCACTAGAGCGACCTCTTCAAGACCCCCTAAACCCGAAACCCTAAACCCCAAACCCTAATATCGGCACGTGGACCATACTGTGCACTCCGGTCGGATGAAGTCCTAAACCCTAAACCCTAAACCCTAAACCCTAAACCCTAAACCCTAACCCCTAAATCCAAGACAGTTTGTGGGACGGGGGGTGGGGTTCAGGTCTAGGGTTTCAGACCGAAAGTGTGTTGGGGTTTAGGGTTTAGGGTTTAGGGTTTAGGGTTTAGGGTTTAGGGTTTACTGGGTTCTGGTTGGAAGGATGTAATGTAAGTTGCTTTAATGAAGAAACCATATTATTTACCATAGATCCTATGATGGTACTATAAATTAAATTCCTTACAGTAACAAGAACCCGGTTTAGAATGGAAAAAGGTTCGAGTCGGGTGCTTGTGAGGATAATTCAAGCTCTACAGAAGGTTCGCCCCTGCCGTCTGATCGAACTCTGGTTTTGTCCAAAGGCCCTTGAACGCCCCAGACCTTCAACAGCAAGCTCCTAAACCTTAAGCCCTAAACTCAACCCAAAACCCTAAACCCCAAACCCTGAAGCCCCAATCCCAAAACCCTAATCCCAAGACCCTAGACCCTAAGCCAGAGACTCTAAGCCCTCAAACCTAAACCCTAAGCAATAAACCCTCAAGGCCCTAAATATTTGAAGCCATCACGGCAAGCCTTCGAGCCTGGAGGCACAGCCGGACGCTTCGTCCTTGACGACGGCTGCCCGCTTTGGCCACCTTGAGGCCGGTCGGTCCGTTTGGCAGAATCGCCTTTCAAAAGTGGCAACTGTTACAGGGTTCCGCTTGTGAAGGAGCATTTCCTCTCTCTATGGAGTGATATCCCAAACCCCATCATAAGTTGTAGGTTTTGTGGTGTATAGCGACTAGAGTCTATACGGTTTAGGGTTGAGTTGTAGGGCTTGCGGTGTTTTTGGAGTGTGCTCTAGGGTGGCTTCGGGTCATTTGCCAAAGTTTGTTGATAATCTGTCCCTAAACCCCAAACCCCAAACCCTAAATCCTAACAGAAAACAAAATAATACGGTAATCCTAAACCCTAATCTCTTCCCCCTAATATTAAACCCCTTAGTATAAAAAAAAAACTTAAATCCGGTGGTTTGGTTTTTATATTAGGGGGGGGGGTTCGGCACATGCGGGTATGAGTGGGATTACTGTAATTAGACTGTAGCCCTCAGCCTAAAGAGCCCTAATTACAGCCTTAAGTTTAGGGTTTAGGGTTTAGGGTTTAGGGTTTAGGGTTTAGGGAGCCTTAAGCCTTGAACCCTAAGCCCTGGTCCTTTCGGTTTAGTACTACCGTAGTCTTGGCTCTATTAAAACTAATACAATCCCTAGGCTCCCTAATGCTTTTGATTAACTTTCAATTGCGGGAACCCAAAACCCCTAAACCCTAAACCTCAAACTCCTAAACCCTAAACTCCTGAACCCTAAACCCAAAACTCCTAAAGCCTAAAACCCCCAAAGACTCCCGAAATCACGAATTGGCCAAGCCGGTGGACCCGACCGAGCCGGCGAAGACCCAGCCGGTGGAGCTCGACCAGATTGGTCACGACGACATGGTCGCCGTCCACTTGGAACCTTAAAAAGAAGAAGGTTTAGGGTTTAGGGTTTAGGGTTTAGGCGCACCAGAGAGTGCAGAGAGCCTAGTTTGGAAATGAATGGGTGCCGGCCCCCTCGAGGAGTCACTGCCAGGAACTCCTCCGCAAGTACGGCCGGATTCGCACGTCACCGTCATTGTATTCAAATCTCCTTGTCAATGTTTGCGCAAGGTGTGGGGCAGTTGTTATATTAGGGGAGGGTTTAGTGTTACCCCGAAGGTCCATGTGCTCATATAGTATATACATCGGCCTTAATGTAGTCCCTTTATAGGTACTTTAAGGACCATGTATATGCTGTATGAGCACAGGGACCCTTAGGGTTAGGGGGAAGCGATTTATCCGAAACCTTCAACCCCATGGATCCAAGCAGTCCTCTTCAACATAGTTCTTCAGCCTCTGGTACACTGATCCCCCAAATGGGATGCAGGGTTCAGGGTTTAGGGTTTGCAGGGTTTGGGGTTTAAGGTTACAGGGTTTACCGTTCATACGTTTAGGGTTTAGGGTTTTGTGCGTTTGGGGTTTGTAGGGTTTAGGGTTTAGGGTTTGTCGGGTTTAGGGTTTAGGGCAAACGCCTCACTCGGAAAGGCGGCCCTGGGCCCAACAGCCTTCATCCAGCTTGTTGTTAGGGTTCAGGGTCGGTTCAAGTTTACGGCTTAGACTGGGGGGTTGAGGGCCAGTGTAATTAGTGAGGGTAGTTTAGGGTTTGGGGTGTAGGGACAAAATGGTTTAACCAGACTTCCTGTCAGCAACTTGCGAAGGTTCAGAGCTGCACATGTCATGCACATACAAACTACTTCACATGCCGTCAGTATTTTTCGCTTGTATTCCCATGAGACCAGGCAACTGGTTGATAGCGGCCCTCCCTCTGTTACAGACCATCTTCATACGGCTTTTCGAAGCCTTGTCGGGCTCACATCGCAGAAACTTGTGCCGTGTCACGCAATGGCTTGTTGCCAAAATCAGTTCTGTTACAAGCCCAGAGAACCCAATACCCCTTTAACTAAGGAATATACCTTAAATGCC